AGTGGGGGTGGGTGAGTCTGCAGCCGGTGTTGGAGACTGCCTCATGGATGAATCAAATCTGCCTCCACGCTGATCCCTCTTCTGTTTTCTCTCGCCCTGCTTGAGATGTTTCCACTGTGGGTGAGATCTAGTAGTGGGGGTCGCTGATGGTAGATGCCTCTGAAGCAGTCCGCAGTTCCTTAGTGTAACTCGTAGCTCTTCCACTTGTGAAAAGTTTGTGGATTTGCTTCTATTGATTTTGAGCTGGAGCTCACGGCTCTATGAGTGTTTTTGTGAAAATGAAAATGAACATAAAGACAGGAACACTGTTTTGTTTTTGTCTGAAGTTGGTTTTTCCAAACTAAGTCCAGCTGTATGTTTAGCAGGAGACCACTGATGAACCAAAACCACAACCAAAGCTTGTTAGCCATAGCAAATTTTTGGTGTATAGAAGTATAGTTTACTAGTTTAGCTTTTTTAAAGAAATGCAGTCTTAGTAACACAGATGTACAGATGAACTCATACAAAGGATATTAGTTGTATTTTTTGAATGTACAGAAAGTTTTGAAATGAGACAAAATATTTATGAAGAAATATAACAACAACCTAAACCTAAATGTGAAGAAATAAAGTTCAGGAATTTATTTAAAATGAAATGATTCCTTATTGATGTGCACATCTTATCAAATATTGATAAAGGAAATTAGAAATAGGTCATTTCTAAAAGCCATCTTGTCTATTCTTAAGTACTGAAAATGTCACTGAACAGGTGTTTATTATTGGCTGACAGGAATTAGCTGACTTTTATTGTTGGTTCGTATCTGTCAGTTTTTCCTGTTCATTCATGTCAGCCACTCTGGGTTTTATACGAGAAGAGAAACCTGGTCATCTTGATCCAAGGAGCTTGAAAAGAAAAGTGACTGGACTTCTTTCTTGAAGACATTTTCCCTCTGAAACTTCTTTTGAAGCTTCCTCAGTTCTAAGAGCTATTGGTGGAGAGTCCCAGATTTTTAAGCCCTATTGGGACTTTCGGGTGTGGGTCACTATCATCCAAGGTTTTAAGTGAACCCTTGCTCATCTTGATTGTGTTTGGGAAAAATCTGAGTTCTCTGTGTTTGACACTGCACAGCACTTCTAAACTGGTTCAAAGTGAACTAACCCAAGATAAGCTGCACACAGTGGCTGTAAAACAGTGAAGGATATAATGTCTCTTTCTGATGGTAGGCTTTAATTGTGAAATATCTGCAGGAAGAGTTTGTATTCATCACTCAGAGTTTAATAAGACAGGCAGAGAAGAAAAGCAGTTAATTAGTGTTGAGGAAATCAGAGGAACTGTTTGGAACTGCAGTTTGGCTGAATCTGGATGTTTGCCACTAAAAGTAAATAATTTTAGTGATAAAGAAATGTGTTCACAGAGGGAGGAAGAGGAGCGGTGTTTGTGAGGAGGAGCAGCCGTCCTGCTGTGCTTTGTGTCAGGACGTCCTGAAGGATCCAGTCTCTACCAGCTGTGGACACTGGTTCTGCAGACAGTGCATCTCCTCATACTGGGACCAGTCTGCTTCATCAGGAG